ATGTTGTGCTCTTGCTGTAAAGTTGAGCTCCGACTTTGACCAGCAGCTGTATGGTGGCCATTGATGGCCATCGCAGGCTCATTACGATGCTTACTCATCACTCCGCTAGTGTGAGAAGACAAAAATGTCTCATCAATTTTGAAGAGTCTAGACATGTTTTAGAATGCTGCCCCTTATCTAGTCAGTGCTATGATTTATGGCCGTAACTATCTTTCTTGCTCATGTAAACAAGAGTTAGATTTTTTCCTCTTGTTTTATTATTCACTGTATTTATATTTCTCTAGAGTTGGGTTTTGATTTTCCCCCTTTTGCTTTTTGCTATGTTAAGTGTAGACATCGTATTCTAGCCTATGCCTAGCGAGTTTACACAGTCACCTGCATATATTGAGGTGCAATTTATGGGGTAACCATTTCAAACACTATATGTGTGTGTGTATATGCTGTTTAATTTGTATCTGGGTTGGTGCTGGATGCTCTCAAGGCGGTTCTGACTCATAGCAACCCTGTGTACAACAGAATGAAACCCTGTCTGGTCCCGTGTCTTCCTCACAATTGGTATGTTTGAGCCCATTGTTGCAGCCACTCTGTCAATCCATTTTGTCAAGCGTCTACCTCTTTTTCACTGTCCTTATATTTTACCCAGCATGATGTCCTTTTCCAGGGACTGACCTCTCCTGATAACATGACCGAAGTAAGTGAGATGACCATCTTTGTTTCGAAGGAACAGTCTGGCTATCCTTCCAGGACAGATTTGTTTCTTCTCCAGGTCGTCCACGGTATTTTCAACATTCTGTCTAGCACCAAATTTCAAATGCATCAGTTCTTCTACCACCTTCCTCAGTCAATGTCCAACTTTCATATGCGTCTGAGGCCATTGAAAATACTGGGTATCTATATAGTCACATTTATTCTATAAATAATTTGATATACTACCGTGTATCCATCCATGTGCATAAAAATTGAATACACCATAGAAATCCGGAGGTCTGATAGCTATCAATAGCTATTACTCTTACTTGCACAACCATGACTTTCCTCAAAGACAAACTCATACTAATGTGAAATAAAAAAATGACTAGTATCTCCGTACTGTGATATGGAGAATGCTGATGGTGGTCAAGTTTCGGGCAGTTGTTTTCTTTTCTTGATTTCCTAAAGGTTTCATATTGTAATTTTATTCTTTTTCTATTGGAAAGACATGTATTCTTTTATAAGAAAGGCAATCAAATGACAACACTGAAAAACATGTTTGTAAAAATTCTCCAGGCTGGAGCTAGAGTGTTGAGGTCTCTCATCATCATTATAATCCTTACCCTTCAAGGAAGTACTGCTTTCACAAATGGGTCAACGAGTGTAAGGGATCAGGTTGTGTGACACCTTGGCTGGGCCACAATTCTCAGTGGTTTGGCAGATATGATGTAGACAAGCTCCTTGATCAGATCTGATACAATGTAATCATCTTCATCACAAACTCTAAACAGCCGATTAATTTAAAGAGTTTCCGCAGAGTTGTTGCCTCCTTCCAAAATATGTGGATGCACTGGCAAAACTTGTTTGCATTGTGCTTGCTCTTGATCCTGCATTTGGCTCATCATCTGACCTCAGGTTCTTTGGGCTCAGCCAATGATCTGCCCTGTTGCCCACTGATGCTGGGAGTCATCAGCAGCCTGACATTTTATCTGCTGCTGATGGGTTGGGTCCTCAGTGCCTGCAGCTACAGGAGCATCATTGTTATATTTGAGCCCATTTTTGCAGCCACAGTGTCAATCAATTCATCTTGTCAAGGATCTACCTCTTTTTCTGACTTCTGACCCATAGACTTAGAACCCGGCAGCCTCTACAACTATGTGATTCATTTCCTTGAGCTAAATATCTCTGTGTATATACACACATAATGTACTGGTTTTGTTTTTCTAGAGAGCCCAGTCTAAGCAATTGGTTTATATATCTCTTACTCCTTACCTCTTACTAGTCTTAAAAGTTTCATCTATATATATATGTATATCTATACTTCAGACTGAAAGCCTTTTAATTAGCTTTCCCCTGGTGGTCACTATGAGTCAGAATCAACTCAATGGCAGTGAGTCTGGGTTTTGATTTGGCTTTCCTTCTTTTAACAGAATGTCTTCTTTGCCTTCCACAGTGGTTGTTCTGCTGCTTGACATTAAATGTTATCAATTGACACTCCATTCTGAAATAATGAGTTTCCCACCTAGTTATAAGGATGACATGAGATAATTAAATGTTTTCATACACCACTTTTAAGAATCGCATGTAAAAGCGAGGTAGAAGCTGTCCTTAGTAGGCATCTTAGGAACTAAGATTCAGCAGGAAGAAGACCTTGCCATTGGGTTTCACCAGTTTGATGGGCAGTGTGATCATTGCTCCTTGGCAGCTGGATGGTAGGCAGAGGAATTGGACTCTGTTTTCTTGTTAGCCCTGGACATTCTGTTCCCAGCTCCTCGTACACATTTACTCAGAGACCAACATTTAAGTAAAACGCGGGGCTAACTATTATCTTTGTTAGCTGCTTTTGAAGTATAATCCTCAAGCACAAACAAACAAAAGCTGTGGTCAAGTTACTTCTGACTCATAGTGGCCCCTCAGAACAGAGCAGAGCGACTTCGTTGGGTTTTGAAGCTGTAATGTTTACATAAGCAGACTGCCTTGTCTTTCTCTTGAAGAGCGGTCGGTGGGGTCAAATTGCTGACCTGTACATTAGCAGCTGAGTGCTTAACCACTCTACCATGACATAGAAGTCACCAAAGTAAGCTAAAAGTAAACGAAAAACTTAAAAACAAACTAATAGAGAACTGGGGAAGAGAAGTATCATTTTAATAGATACAGAAAGTAGAGTTATTTAATTTAGAAAACAGTAATAACTAATGTTTCTGTATCTTAGACTTGGCATCTCTAGACACAGCTATGTGAACTGGATTAAGAGTAGAAATTGCTTCTTCATTCAGACCTTGAGAGTTACGGTTATCATTTAGGGCTAAATTCTAGCACAAAAGACTATAATAAAACATGCTTCGACTATTAAATATAGACAGTTACTATAGACTCCAAACGTCTCTATTAAGCCGTGCAAATTTCAGGCAAGTTATTGTATCTGAAACTCTAAGATCTAGATGGTAGTGAATAAGGTGTTGTTATGAATGTCTTTTGGATGAAACAAATGAGTTTGGGGTTTTAGCATGATCAAGTTACTGGAGTTTTGGCTCCTCTCCCACCTGTTTCTCTTGCTAAACACTCAAGATGGGAGACTCTACCAAGATTATATAACTGTTCTTGGAAATCTAGTCTCTGTGAATAATGGGAAAGGAGACCCTTACAGATCGTTGTGGTGAATATTTGGCTCCGAATTAATCTGGACGCTTAAATCTCTGAGATTTCCAGTAATGTTGAATTTGGCAGCATACCCTGTGGTTGTAATATTTTAAGCCTTTAAAATTTATGGGTTCTCCAATAATGACATGCTTTCCCCACCCCCCTGATTATTTTTCATGACTAGCATTCTTGTCATAGGCCTATCTACTTCAAACAAATGCAATCCGGTGTACGGCTCTTGCAGCGCATGGTGACTGCCTAAAGCGCTTTGTGTGCCTTGGCATGTGGCCACGGGCAACTGCGAACACGAGGGCTTTCCTGGGTGACTAGGGAGCATCTTGTTTTCATCTATTTTTCTACTTGAGTTCGCCTTCTAGGGTTAGACCTTTTTCCTCCTTTCCTTTCTCTCTTCTTCCTCCTGGCTTTCCTCTCTCCCTCTCTCTCTTCCTCCTTGCCTTCTTAGATCTCTCTTTTCTCTTCAGCGTTTCATTCTTCCTGCACTTCGTTGTTGTGAGGGGCTGTCTAGTTGATAGTGATTCCCCGTTAACCCCGTGTGATGAAGTAGAACTGCCCAGGAGGATCTTCCTGACTACCCTTTATCAGAGCTGACCGTCATGTCCTTCTCCCCAGGAGCCACGCTGTGACTTCAACCGCCAACCTTCCAGTTTGCAGCAGGTAGCTTAAATACCCCCACCCGGGCCAGAGTCATCGATGTCATCAGTATTTGGACAGGTCCTAGTAAGCAGTAGTGTTGCAATGCTCCGTGGAAAGGACCAGGTGTTTCTAGCTTTTGCCTTCTCCTGAGTCCTCACGTCTTTTTTGGCAAGTCATTGGAGCAGGGGCCCATTTGGTCTCTGCTTTGTACTTCTGGCTGGGGGAGAATTCCTCAAGAAGAAAATGTGCCTTCCCCTAGTGAGGTTCGCTGAGGATTCTTTCTGGAAAGAATAGCTTTTGTTTAGTGTTTCTCGAGCTGAGGACTGGGTCTAGTAAGTTTCTGCTGTGAAGCAGGCAGTGTAAGAAGAAGGTCCAGACGCTTTCGGAACGTAGGCTGGGGCAGTGGTAGCAAAAGGTGGTGGTGGGAGACCCTCTGGGGAGGGCCCAAGGGCAAGGGTGGCAGAAAAGGGGCCGGCTGGCTAGGTGAACATTCTAGAGACTGTGGGAGTACAGTAGAGCAGAGGCAGTGGTGCAAAGCACAGCCTCTTCTGGGCCGGGAACCTCTCAACCTTCCACCCTTTAGCTCCCCTTTCTGCCCCAACCCTTTCTTTGCAAGGGGTCTTCAAGGGCACTATTCTGCTTTCTTGTTGAGGCCTCTTGTGGTCATCTCTGTGTCCAGGATTTCTGTACAGAATTGCCAAATGGCTCTACAGCCATGTAATCAATGGGTGATTTGACTGGGTCACTGATTTTTTGTCCAGCATAAAGGTTTAAATATGTATGTCCTCAATCTACTTCTGCTTGGTTACTGTAGTCACAAGTGTAAGTAAAAGATAATTCTTGTCTTGCATCTAAATAGTTTTCATAGAGACAAATCCAAAAAAGAGTGATAGAAATAAATTTGTAGCATATGTCTGTATACATGTATATAACATATATGCACACATTCATCTATATGCAAGTATATCTTATCACATAGAAACCCATGTATATACAGATGCACACACATACAAATATGAGTATATATATAAATATATATTTAAATGAAACTTGGGCAGCCATTGCTTATTGTGAAACATTGGATGATATGTAGAAATAAATAGAGCAACGCTTTATTGCAGAGGAAGTTTTTAAACACCCCATCTTGCTGTTGAATCAGAAATTGAATTAAATACCTTCTTAACAGCCATTTTGTATAAACTTGCTATTGGAAGCTATTCCTCCATATCAGTTAAAAACGGAGGACAAAGAGCAAATGTTGCATATGCCCTCTACAATGTCTGGGTCCTAACTAAGGCTCTTCCTCCTGACATGCAGCTAGCTGCTTACATCTCATTCAGAGGTGGGATGGGAAGATGGGAGGTCTGGAGGAGGTGCCTCAGAGGGTAGGGTGAGGCTAGTCTACTCCCTCCAGGTTGGGGTCAGCCTCTTGGGGCAGCTGCCGCTGCACTGAGGGCTCTGCTAGCAATCCACCAGCCACTGGTGGTGGTGAACACTCCGTCCTAGCCTCACATCCAGGCACCCCAGCTAAAGCTTCCTCATGCACCAGGAGGACCGGGCCACGACCCTTTGCCTCCTTCGCTGGTCCCGAGGCATGAGCTGGGGACAGTGCGGAGGTTGCTTCTACCTCTGGTTTCCGGGGTGGCTGAACATGCTGGGCTCCAGTGGGGAGGCTCTTCCCACAGGCCTCTGCTCCCAGCCCAGTGTGGGGTTCAATGACTTGGGGGGGAAGTTCTGCCTCGTTGCTTCCTTGGGCGTTAGCCTGAGGTGTTGGGGGAGGCAGTGGACTCTCAGACTCCAAGGAAAGAAACAGAGGGGCTTGCTCTGGCTCCTGGTGGGCTGCATCATCTGGACCTTGAAGGCTGCCTGATTCTGGGGGGATCTCTTTGGGCTGCTTGAGGGCGGGTTCTGGAGGATGGATGACCATGAAGGCTGCGGCCAGGTTCTTCACAGCCTCCTGGACACTCCGGACCTCCTCCGAGTCGACCTCTTCCTTCCCAGGCACGCCTACTTCGGACTCCTCACTGGAGGGGTGCTGGCTTGGGTCTTCCTCTTCAGGCATCTTGGCTTCTCTGATCTTCTTGTAGAGCTCGTTTCTCTCTTCTTGCAAAGCTCGACAGAGATTCTCCAGCCTCCCAATTTTCATCACGAAGCACTCGTACTCTTTCGCCCTCAGCGCTTTCTGTGATTGGAAAACAGACACACAGACGTAAACTGGAGGGAAGAGTGTAATGGCCAGCATGCTCTCTGGGGACCAGCAGGACTGTTTGTTTGCGAATGTGTCCCCGGGGCTGCGGGCCCAGCCATGGAGCGGTGCTGGGACAGACCCTCGGCCAGGAGCTCATGCTCCTTGGTGCATTGTGTGCTAGATACTGCAGTCTACCTACTCTCCCCATCCTTTCCTTGAGGACCCCAGGTGGCAGCCAACAGGTCCAACGCCAGACACCCCTTTGAAAGGTTGATGGTTCCAACCCAAGTTAAGGGGCCTTGGAAGACAGAGCTGGTCATCTGCTTCCTGATAGGTCGCAGCCTCGAACCCCCTGCTGATCTCTACTCTGCCCACGGGGGGTGCTGGGCAACCTGCAGCTACTTCATCAACAACAACAGCCTTTTCTTGAGGAAATGAAGCCGGCCAAAAACAATGACAGAGACAGGCCTGGGACTTGGCCTTCCTCCAGCCTTTGTGGTCTCGTCTACAGATAAGCTGCAGCGCTAGGCTCCTCCCAGCAGCCATTCCCACGTATGTGTTGATGAATCATAAGCGTCCCTCTTTGAAATTGCTTGCAATTTGGAATGAATTGTTAGAACAGTCATTACAACTAGAGAAGCTTACCACACACACGAGGCTGGCTGCTCAGACTGTTTCAGTGTTGGTTGGGTCTTTAGACAGGTGCGCGTGCTCGGACAGGAAGCTGATCCTCGTCCCCTGACCTGGTGTTGCTCTGTAGTTTACAAACGCGCCTAAGACTCACCCCCGCACCGCTAGCCTGTCAGCCCAGACTATTCCGTGCTTGACATCATTCGTTGTTGTTGCTGCTGTTGTGAGCGGCTGTGGGGTCAGTTCTGACCCACAGGGACCCAGTGAACAGCAGAATGAAAGACTGCCCTGCACCACCCTCACGATTGTCGTGGTGGGAGCTCATCACTGCAGCCACTGTGCCCATCCACCTTGCTGAGCATCTTCCTCGTTTTGACTGACCCTCTACTCTACCATGCATAACGTCAGTATCCAGTTGCTTGCTGGAGGAAGATTGCTCTCTATCGGTCTACAAAAGCGAACACACCGTGGGAGCGGGTGTCTCAATTCATCTTGGACTGACTGGGTTTCCTGCTCTTGGAAATGGCGAAGACGCGCCTCCTGTCTCCGGGGAATTCGGAGTCCGGCAGGAGGTGATGCGATTCTGGTCCCAGAGGACGTCATGAGTCTGGGTTAGTTACTGCATTCCTTTGCTCCGGTTATTTTTATTACATTTACCATGCTACACTCCTGGAGAAATCCAGCTCTTTTTTGGAATGCTACCTTTATACGATTATATGATCATTATTTTCTGTGAATAGTTTGGCTCTTCCTCCCACCCCTCGCCTAGAGGCTGTTCAGTTCATCCTAATTCATGGCCACCAAGGAAGGAAAAAGAAAATCCCGTGTGAGGAATGGGCTCACCTCCTCAATCATGTCCAAGAGGGCTTTGTTGCAGTTCTCGAAGCGCGCTTTCCACGTGGCCGTGTCCTTCTCCAGCTTCTTCATTTTCTTAGTTGTCTGGAAATTGGAGTGGATTCATGTTAATCACCATGTGTTAATGGAGCAAAGAAGGCTCCGCTGCATCTCTGACATCGAGATCAGCCCCTTTGTTACCAGCTGCTTGAGCAAGTGTATGTTCCCTGTCAAGGGCTGAAGACATGGGGAGGGAGAGCCAGGACTTCTTCCCGAATCTTCTCCATCAGTAGCGAGCACATGTTTGCACCAAAGCCCATGCAGGAAAAACAGACCACATAGGGGCACACTGCTTTGTTGCTATTTTCTCTCATTTAGAATCAAAGCAGCCTTACTGAGTTCCAAGACAGGATTGTTTGCTTCACTGAGTAGAACACTATTGATGAGGAAAGTGGGCAAGGGGTCTGAGCCAGGAACTGTTGGTTGATCGGTGCAGTTGAGAAGCAGCCACACGTAGGCTGCTGTCCATGCCTTTAGCCCTTCCCCGGGAGAGAACGCTGTGGAATTCACCGAACGCAATGACCCACGTTAATGAAATTCATCTTAGAAACAACGACACCAGGAAGTTTCTATTTTCACCCCTACTGGATAGATGGGGATACTGAGACTTAGCACAATGTAATGCTGCTCGGGTGAGCTTGAGAAAGAGTAGTGTTTCCCAAGGACTGTAATTCTTATCAACCGAAGTTGAAGGAGGGAATAGTATCAGAGCCTAAATTGTGAGAATCTACTTGGAAATCTAAATGTCCAAGATACATTTGTGGGACCTACATAGGAAATAAGCCTCTGGTGATCTCCCTCTGTCCATAATACAGGGATGGGAGGACAGTGTTTACTAAATAGAGTGCATTGGAGAGATGGCTATCGAAGTTCAAAAAGATCAATCTGACTTCAGTGGTTGAAAGCTTGTCAATTGGTTCTCCCTCTGATGCACGTTAGGCCTGATCTGCTTTTCAACATTTTCTGTATTGTTTTTGTTTGTTCATCTTGGGGTTTATCTCAGGTGTGTTATGTCCTTGGAGATCACCCTCTTGAGTTTTGTTACATGTTTTTCAGTATCTGAAACCCATGATTGATGAGCCTATAGGGACAGCAAGTAGACTAAGGGCTTCTGGGGGTACAGTGATGGGAGGGGGGTGGTGCTGTAAAAGAAAGCTGATGTCAAGGAATTCAGGAAAGAAAAGAATGTTTTGAAACTGATTGTGTGCTAACAATTGTACAACTCTGCTTGATGTGATTGAACTATGGAAAGATATGATTCTCTGTAGTAACTCCCAATAAAATAGTTTTGAAAAAAAATAACCATGTTTAGGACAGAATAGCAAGAAGCAATTTTTTGGAAAATTTTTGAAAAACTAAAAGTTATATAATTTTCCAGAATCAAAATTATGTAACTTTGTTATATATTTTTAATGATGTAATACTCTCATGATCACATAGTCTTTATAAGTATTTATAATGGCCTATATCCTAACAATAAACTTTTTTAAAAAGAGAATAAATTGCATAGAGAAACTAAAACCAAAGCAGAACAAAAATGAGTGGTGTTGGAGAGGCCAATCCCTTGAATGTTACATATACTTGGTGTCTGCTTACCACACGGCCTTAGGTGAATCAATTACAGCAGGTTAGCAAGCAGACTTGTGTTCCCAGTTTGTGGTAGCCCCTCTCTGCTGGGTCAGTGAAAGGCAAGGCAGGTCACTAGCACACTCTCCCTGGTGTGCAGTTGCTGGGACACGTGCTGCTCTGTGCCAGCTGTCATCAGCTGGGTGTTCCTGGAGGACAGGGCCTGGCTGGGGTGCTGTCAGCCCACAGGCTGTGTGGACAAGCTGGGTGAGCCTTGAGTGGTTGTTAATTTTAATCACATCTTAACTAAGCTAGTGGTTTATAAACCTTTTAAGACCATTGGCCCCCTTATGGATTTGATGGAATCTATAGCCACAAATGTATATAGGTAAACTTAAATAGATTTTTGGATTCAATTAATTAATTTCCAGGGAATCTACTAAAGTCCATAAATAGACACCAGATTTACAACCCCCGTGCTCAAATTCACTTCAGTCTGAAAACTCTATAATTTTAATATAAGTAAAATCATTTTTAAAAATGGATAAATCCGTCTGGTCTGGTAGTTACATAACCTGGTGTCAATTTGGGACTTGAGAGGATTAAGTGTGAAGGGTTGGAGTCTAGTCTGTCAATCAGGTCATAGCCAATGAGACCTCTGTGTGGGCCTGGCCTTCTCCTGAGGATTCTGGGAACTCCTGTATTTTCCCTCCTTGGAGGGGAGAGACACTTCTCTCACACTGCAACTTTTAATAAGTCTTGGCCTTTTTAAAGACCATCTTAAGTTTACTCCCTGAATTGTAAAATTTGATTTTATAAGGATTTTTCTAAAAGGAAAGTTTTTACCCTTAAACATGGCGAATGCCAATGCCTGCTCAGAGCACAATGCTGATGCTGGCTTTGTGTGGGGAAAGCACTCGGTAAAAACAAGACTTAAAGACTATGTCCAATAATAATATTACTGCCTATATTTGCAGGAAAAATCTTTTAAAGTACATGAATTCATTTGACTCACAACTTTGCAAAATAGGCAAGGGAATCGTACCTCCAGTGATAGTTTAAAAAATTAAAATTCTGGGTAATTAAGTGAATTGATCAAGGCCACTTGGTGAGGATGTGGTCTGCCTAGGGTTTAAGTTTCTGTCAAGTATAGCCTTTTCCATACCGTATATACTTGAGTATAAGCCAACCCAAATATCAGCCGAGACACCTAAATTTACCACAAAAACTGCATTAAAAACAGGCTGAAAAACTCAACTTATACATGAGTATATGTGGTATATTTGACAGAAAGTATACAGTTCTGTATATTTTTCACTTTGAGAAGGAGCTCATAAGATATTTTAAAGAAAAGATTATATTTTCTACCCTAACAATTAATTTTTGTAAACAAGTTTTCAGTTTTCCCTTTAGAAGATTAGGACTTTTTTTTGCTTCAATATTTAAAGCAAAATGTTCAGTTGTCAGCACTTGTTTTTTTGGTAAGCTATACGTGGATTAGAAAAAGAACATGTTCTTTCCCAGATTTAAAATATATCCTAGGGTTTTTTTTTTTGTTTTACTCTAGCTAAGATTATTTTATCAGAGACTTATGAATACAAAAGTAGAACACAAATCTAATCCACGCCTTTATTACTTCACGAAATGCACGGAAATATCCTTGCAAGAGATAAATGAAACCCAAAGGAGCCTGCCTGTCGAAACAGAAAATGTCCACATTGCACAGGTCACAGGCAACACTCACTCTGTCCATTTCCTGCTTGAAAGTGGCAAACACCTCGTTGCTCTTTGTCAGAGTGTTCTGGAACTCTTCAAACCGCCCCGAGTAGAGCGTCAGCTGCAAACAGAGAACACAGTGGATCTATTTTAGGCTGCTTTCAAAATGCTTCCAGAACAAAACAACATGCCATTGTTCATTATTTGAAAAGAAAAATGATTTAAGGAAATTCACAATACAATGTTAGGAATAGGTTCAGCAGTTTTGATGGAAGCAGATATTTAAACAGAAATGAAATCATCCAGGATGGCATCATGATTTCATAGATCATAACTTCTACCAGCAAGCATTTGTTGAGCCCTGAACAGAGACATTGAGTGTATAGGGAAACTATTTGCTATGTGAATTCCAAGGAGTGCTGGGGCTGTAGTGGTTCTGTGTTGCACTGCTAACCACAAGGCCAGCAGTTCGAACCCTATGCAGTCTGTGGGAGAAAGAGGAGTCTTTCTGCTCTCCCTGAGATTTGCAGCCTCAGAAACCTGAGGGTAGTCCTATAGTGCTCTGTAGTGTTACTGTAAGTCAGAACTGACTCGAAGGCAGTGCATTTATTATTATTATTATTATTACTTTGCACTCCTACTGGGAAGACCACTGTGGAGGGAATTTGACAAGCAGATTGTGAGCTAAGTGCTCACAAGAATATAGTGCACAAAGCCAGTTAAGTGGAATGGATCGTCTGAAAAGGCGGTAAGCATGGCAGGTGGTCTTGAACTTGGGCTTGAAGGAGAGGAAGAATGTAGACCAATGGAGAGAAGTGATGAGGGAAATGTGGGGAAGACTAAGATGAGGGCTGCTGTCCTTGGACAAATTGGGCACTACCCAACGATACCACATCTAAACAATTGCTATTCCATCTTAGGCCTTGTAGTTTCATATATTTACAGTGTTTAACCAATTGATAGAAGTCCCTTTTGATCCAACGTAATTTCCAACTCATCAGTTGTCTACAGATGAATGTAACAAGAAGGGGATGCCTTCTACTAATTTTCACAAAAGCATCATATGGGTTAACTCATTGCCATTAAGTTGATCCCTTATGGGCCAGATGGTAGGAAGCCTCATCTTTCTCCCATGGAGTGGTGGGTAATTTCAAACTGGTAACCTTGCAGTTTGCAGCCCAACGCAGAGCCCACGACACCCTCAGGGGTCCATCATATGGGCGAGGAGTGGTGAATCTGCGGCTCAGTGCTCTACTTCAAGGCTTGCATTGGGATGGGAATTGGGCAGGGGAAGAAACTGTGTAAGTACTTGATTGGTCGTGGCAGTAGGTAAAATGAAAATCTTAGGTTAAAGGTAATATTTTAGAATAGCGAGTTTTGAGGGAGTAGAGATTTACTACATATACTTGAAGTTGGTGGAACCTCTATTTTCAAATGCATCCGTGGTCCCCTCAAGGGTCTTGAACATTCCCAATTTCTCAGAAAGTCACAGCAATGTCCTCTGTGTGAAAAAGCAGGAGAGGCTGCACTTGGCAGACTTGCAGGCTGGGTTGTTGGCCAGAAAGAGGGAGACAGCGGGCCAGCTGGCCGTGCCTGTGGGACAGTCATTTTGAAAGCAGAGAAGCACACAGCTGAAGAAAAGCTGTCTGGTTAGCTAGCCCCCCACTCTGGGGGTAGCTGTTGGAAGGAGGAGTGTGTGCTGGGGGACAGCTCCTTGAACGCAGACAATTTGGATCTGGAGTGACTTGGTCCCAAATGATTTTGAACAGCAGAGGTTTGATTGCAGTGAGCAACAATAAAGTAGCCCAACCCCTTTCAAAAGAACACCGAATTTCTATAGACACATCAAACACCAACCGACTGCCATGTTGTGCCACTGCCACTCATGAGGACAGTGAGTGTGCCACAGAGCTTGGGGCAGCCCTGGTGGTCTACACTGGTTTCTCGCAAGTCCTTGCTATGAAGTTTAAGGGAGATTAGTAAGGAATACCATAACCCATGGATCGGAAATTGACATGGAGTTTGACATTCTCTTTCTCTCTCACACACACCAGGTACATAGAACAATACTTAGTGTGTGCAATTACTTTGATATAGTTTACTCAGCTCTGTTTAATTTTTTTCCCCAGATCGCTGGCTGGAATCCACTAAAATGATCTCAGTTACCACTAATGGCTCAGGGCTCTGCGTTTATGAGCAGGTGTGTGGTCCATCTCCCCGATGCATCCTTTTGAGGATCAGAAGAAGCTCCCTCACCCACTCATGTCCAGTTCTCCTTTCTCTTTGGCAAAAACTTCCTTCTTGTGCGTGAATTTACACAGACCCCTTTCCTCTGCTCCGAGTTTCCTTGTTGCTGGCTTGAGGCGTGGAGAAGACAGTCTCACTCCTAGTGCGGGGGAGCACTGTCTCCCTCAGGACCACCCTCTGGAGGCTTTCTCCAGTGACTCTGTTGGTGGCTCTGGGCGTTAGGCACAGGGTTGTTGACCTAAAGGTTAACAGTTCAAACCCACCAGGTCCTCTTTGAGAGAGAGAGAGAGAGAGAGAGAGAGATAAAGCTAGCTGCTACCATAAAGATTTATAGTCTCAGAACCCTGTGCAGGGTTGCTGTGAGTCAGAATCTACTCTATGGCAGTTGGGTTACTTGGGTTGGTGCTCATATTCTGCTTGTCGTAGTGAGCAAAGCCCACGTGGACTGTGCACCTCTGCGGCTATCATCTCTAACCCTCTCTTCTGATGCTTCCTGTCAACTTGAGAGCCGTGTGATCCGCGGTGTCCTCCCTGACTATTACACCGACAGCATGCATGGCTCCGGGACCTCCCTCATGTTGGTTGGCATTTCAGAGAGATATGGATGGGACATCCAAGAGGTCATCCTACCCGCCAGAAGCAGAAGGAGAAAGCAATTGTTTGCCTCTCTTATTTACTGTAGTAGTCTTGCACTCAAAAAAAGTTGGTTGAATAGATTGCACTTATTATGGGCTGGGCATTGTGCTAAGTGCTTTGCATGTATGACTTGAAACACACTTTTTATGCAAATTACTATTCATTAACTGGTTTTCCCTTTACAAACTTAAATATATGAATAACTCGCCCATCACTGCTGAGCGAGGGCTTTTCTGATGTAAAAATAGCCACCTTTTTAGATCAGGGATGCTACCTGTTAGTGTTTTTTGAAAGACTGAATGTGAATCCCCTCTCAGAGAGCCCATTACGTCATCCTAACTTAACAGGCAAGCTAATTTAGTCCAGAGAGGTTAACTGAGTTACACAGTCACACAGATTCTCAATGGAAGAGCCAGGGCTCTGACCCTGGCCCCCAAACTCAGTCAGTTACTGAGGGATTATCGAGGATTGTTGGAAAGGCTATGAACTCTGGGTAGATGCCTTTTTGTTCTTAGGATGCAGGTAGGTAATAGGATCACATATTTATGTTTCATAGGACATTAAAATCCTAGGTTTTGATGTCCCCTGAATGAATCATTCTCTATGTCAGAGTCTACAGATATTACCTCTGTAATATGGTCTGTAACAAGTTCTCAAGTCTTTGTGCTGCAAATGGGACAGAGCTAGAATCAGCAACTCTATTTGGATTCCCTGGGCTTTTCCCACCAGCCACGCCCCCTTCACCACTGCCCACCTCGTGAGTGGCCACCACTGCCACCGCCTTCTGCCATGGCCCGATGGGCTCATGGCTACCTGACAGATGGCCTGTGAGCTTCTGCTTCAAGAATTTAGTCTTCAAATTCGGGACCCTTTGATTCGACTAATAATCCTCAAAGACTACACTTCCAGACTCCTTGTGATTAGTACTTTAAAATGATTCTGATATTTGATCCCAAAAGGTCATATTCACATTTTTGTCCATGCGGTGGTATGGTTTAGGTTCTAAATTTCTTAATTTTTTTTAAAACAAAGAACACGTGTGTCTTGTGGCAGAGAGCTCTCTATTATCTCCCATCAGTTCCGTAGTCAGCACATCAACATTTACCAGTGAATTGTCTGGCTCTCCGGTTAATGCTGCACCATTTGAAAGGCCTCTGGTTTCCCAAGCTTCTATCACTTTGCTCTAGGAGACTGCCCGGGAAGGCACTGCAGCACTGGGGAGGAGCCCCGGTGGGGCCGTGGGTGCAGTTACGCTACTAATAAAAAGGTAGGTGATTTGAACTCCCCAGCTGCTCTGAGGACCCAAGATGAAGCGGTCTCTTTCTATACAGGTTTACAGCCTTAGAAACCCATTGGGAGAAGCTCTCCCTTATCTGTAGGGTTGCTGGGATTCAGAAGTGATGGCAACAGTGTTGACCAGAGCATTTCTACCAGCAGAGCAGTTTGAGCTCTCTCTGGGGCCCTGCGGCAAGATGGGTATTCCAGAACCCGAGAACGAGTGTTTGCCAGAAAGGGAGCTCAACCCCAAAGGGAAAGAGGCAATTGGATAACTTCAGAATTTGCCCAGGATCAGCTGTTCCCCGCGTCTTTCCTCTGGAATCTGAGGCATGAATTCCCATGTTGTTGCTGCTGCTGCCTTTGAGCCCTCCCAGATCAAGGTGATCCCATGTGCTACCCTAACACCTGCACAGCCTACTACACGCCCCCGTGCTCCACAGTCCCTTTACTTGGGAAGAGTGAGGAAAGCGCAGCCCCCACAGTCTACCCCCCATGTCACCTGAGCCTGCAGGACTGTCTCTTGTTCCTTCAGCACTTTGGCCTGAAGCTTCCACTCTGCTGCCTGGTTCAGGAGCTGTGAGGAGAGAGGATGCATGGAGGATTGACAAGTTGTCTGTGACTCCACTGCCTGGCTGTAATTAGTACGTTAAGGCTCTGTAGCTTCGTTCATTACTCCAATCAAGCAATTTTTGGAACTCCACAAGGAATGGAGAGATAATAATTGATCTAGAAAGTTGCCTTCTCAAACAAATGACTTGCTTTAATAGAAAAACAAGAGAAACAGCCACTCCCTCAAGCATGCAGCACACAATGTCCACCCTTCTCCACAATTCAGGAACCTGATCGAGCAATCCTGGCCAGTCAGCATTCAGCGCCTGCTTGCTCCTCTCCACAGCATCGAGAAACCCTAGGGCAGTGGTTCTCAACCTTCCTAATGCAGCGACCCTTTAATACAGTTCCTCATGTTGTGGTTACCGCCCACCCCCCCCATCATACAATTATTTTCATTGCTATTTCATAACTGTCATTTTGCTACTGTTATGAATCGAGCGCCCCCTGTGAAAGAGTCGTTTGACCCCCCCAAAGGGGTCGCGGCCCACAGGTTGAGAACCTCTGGTTTTAGCCATAAAAATGACACATACAATTTTTTTTAGTGATTTTAACTTAAAATCTGAAAAAAAATATGAATTCCCATGTCCACTGACTGGTGCCCTGATCTTTATTTTGCACTCGGATCTTCTGATTGGAGTTCAGAATCTCCTTTGGACAAAAATCACATCCATAATGTGACGATCGAGACTTCCAGTTATTTATTATTTACTTGTTTGGAAGATAGTGTAGAATCTAAAGATATTTGTGAAGCAACCATGTCGAGAACTTTTCTTTTAGATGCTTAACGTTCTTTGTTTATTTGATTGTTTTTAAAGTTGTCTTTTATGGCTGTTCACGTGTAATTTGACAATTGTTTCACCATCTGACTTCACGCAAACACGTGACCTTGAGAACTGAGCTGGCCTGACCCCAGCACCGTGTTGTCAATGTACTCGCATGCATGTGAAAGTTGGGCAATGCACAGGGAAGATTGGAGACGAATGGTGCATTTATTTAAATTACGGGGTTGGAGAAGAACCGTGCAATGAACATGGACAGTCAGAAGAGCAAACAAATACATCTTGGAAGAAACACCACTGGAATGATCCTTGGAGGCGAGTCTGGGAGAATTAGTCTCATGTACTTTGGGCATGCTCACTGGAGGAACCCGTCTCTGGAGGAGGAAGTGTAGGATCAGCAGGGGGGTGGGGGAAGATCTTTAATGAGATAGACTGACTGTGGCTGCAAGGATGGGCACAACCATAGCAACCATTATGAGGCTGGCACGTACCCGGGCTGAGCAGTGTCTCCCTCTGTTTTTCGTAGGATTGCTGTAGGAGTAGAGACCTACTCAATGGAACCGAACAATGACAACAACAAACGTACAAAGCAGCCGGAGAAAATTCATAGAAGCAACATGTTTCCCGGTGATATTTTATCGATTTGTGTATCAGTCCATTGATTCTTTTAATACAAGAACATGTATAACAGGAAAAACACATTTTGGAATCTGTTATGGCCATAATTTTGCCGCCCCCACCCTTCCCTCCAACCCCAAGATGTTGATGTCTTCACCCTTGCTATCTATGGATGTGAGCTGGGTTTTAACCATGGTATCAGTTGGCGGGAGGTCATACTGATCCCCTGAATTGGACCTCTAGCCCCTAGAACTGTGAGATAATGCATCTTTGTGTTTATCAGCCACCCAACTTGTGATACATTCTTTGGACAATATGATATAGAAAAAGGAATGCTATAGAATTAATGTAGGATGAAACGCTGCTTCTTGTCCAACTCCCTCCACCCACTGGGGTGGAATAGGCGTGGGAATTCCAGAACATGGCTTACCGTTGCCTACTAGCCCTGGGCACAGAATATGTAGAGGGCATCTCTCAGGCTGTCTTCTAGCGAGGATGGAGAAGCTGATGGATTAATCTGAGTAGCCAGCCAGATGGTCGTCTGTTTAGAATTATTTATTGTGTTTCAAGATAGGCCAATTTGGATGTTCCTCTTTTAATATTTACTTTTAAAATGTTTCCAAAGTTCGTGCGTTATTTTTATATTCAGAACAACCAAAAAACTCTAAGGTCATTCATTTTGGAATGTTTCTGTTATTCAAGAGCTCTGCTTGGTAAAGTAGAAGGGCAGTGTGGAAGAGGAAGACCCCTGTCCAAATAAATAGATGGCACTGTGGCTGCCAACAATGGGCTCAAACAGAACGACAAGGGTGAGGCCGCCCTAGGACTCGTCAGTGTGGGTTTCGGTTGTGCATAGGGTTATTGTGGGTCAGAACTGACTCAGTGGTACCAAACAACAACAGGCCAGTCCAGTGCTAGGAGTCCTTGGACGCTGTAAATGGTGACCTTGGCTGCTAGCCGGAAGGCTGGCGGTTACAGTTCTACTCTGACCCTCACGGGATTGCCCTAAATCAGAATTGCTGCCTGGAAACTGGTTTTGTTCCATTATGCCTCCCTGGGCTACAGTGAAGATTGGCTGTCTCGATGTGTAACTGACTCTTTGTGAGAGACCTGGGGCAACTGTGGTCTAGAAGCCCGACAGTCCCCTCTGGCCATCTGGAGTTGTGGGGAAGCTTGCTCATCCTGGCTGCCTAGGAAGGCTTTCAGCATATTTTGAGGAAGACCCTTGACAGTGAGAAAGACCAGCGGCTGCCCATTGTGCTTGAGGTGAGGAAACACACCCGATCTGTTTTGACATCTCACCGCTTCTAAGATGGTATCACAGACGTGGAAACCACATACACCGTGGTACATGTCCAACTTTGAGTAGCTGAGGGGAGCTACCCCTCTTTAACTCCAATCTGCTATTTGCTAAATCCCAGGGTGGAACATTGGCCTGGTTCTTGTCCATGCTGTCACCCCAGTTTTAACTTCATGAACCTTTGCCTGGTTCTTCCTCTCTCGTGGTGCTGTTTCTTATAACACAGCGAAGCTGCCCTATCCTGTCGGAAGTCGAATTTACCTGAGAGGATAATTATGACAACAGTGGGGTATCTTTTTTCTTGGATTTTGAAGAATAATGGAATGATTTATTTCTTATCTTGGGTTATAGATGGATTGAATAAATGCATCTTTTCCTTAAGAACATAAGGGTATTTTTTTAAAAATTTGAAATATATGACAGGTTATGTACTACAAAATCCCCCTTTCTTTGCCATGTTGGAAAACTGAAATTATTATTTTTTAAATTACTGTTCTAATAATGGAAGTGACTCGGCTTGAGTTTAGGTACATGAAAAGCTCATGACTGAATAGTAAACGGCCAAATTTGAACAATTGGTTCATTGACTGTGTCATAAATCATTCTCTCCCTACGAGCGTCATGCGCACTTGAGTTTGAGAGATGGACCCACCAGAGTTTGAACCATATCCTGGTCACCTAGCACTGTGTGACTTTCAGCAAGTGATGCATCCTCTGTGAGCCTCCCGTCTCACAGCTGTGGCATGTTTTGGTGTGGTTGGCCTTTGTGAGATGTCAGCACCACTGCCACCCGGTTTCTTAAACCCAAAGCATCAGGACCGGTCATCCTTGGTCCTCCCTCTCCTCTGTGTCCGTGGCTTCAGTCCCTCAGCACTGCCTCCCACTTTTACTTTAGTTAAAGTTAGGATAAAATTTAACTTCCACCTAGCTCCACCTCACCTTCTCTACTGCCACCTCCCTAATGCAGCCCCTCGGTGCACCTCATCTGGATTGCTGCAGGGTCCCTCCACAGTCTTGCTGTCACTCTCATATCTCTCCGTCTATTTCCAAACAAATTAATCAACGAACCCATTGCCGCCATGTCCATGTTGACTCAGCAAACTTCTGGAAGACTTCCGAGATGGTCAATCGTTCTAGACAGGAGCAGCCAACCTCGTTCTCCCCACCCGCCTCCCCGGGAGCCAAATAAATCTTCCAGAGGCAGCCCTGTCTGTCCCCTCCCTGACTCAATTGACCCAGCACTTCCCCACTCTGTTGAGAGTAAAATCCACGTGACTTTCCAAGACCTGCAAAGTGACACGGTGTGACCCACTTTCTTCTGAAACAGTTCTCCCCCATGATCAATGGGCTTTTGATTTCCTCAGCTTGCCTTTGGAGCGCACCCCACTGCTTCTGTGCCTGCCTGCCCTTTCTTCCTGCTGCTCGGACTAGAGATAGCGCCCCAGAGGCCACGCCACGCAGCTCCCTCCCATCAGCCAGGTCTCTACCCAGCAGCCTCCCCTCCCTTTCTGATCCGTCAATGTCAAGTCAGTCCTCTGCTCCCTCTCCACTTTCAGTTCCCCCTTACTGTCCCCAGCAGCATTATTCTGCTGTGGAATTCATTGTTTGTTGACTTGTTCATTGCCTCTCTCCTCATTTGTCTAGTCTCCATGGTGGTGGTAACCCTCCACGGCCTCCTGCACTTCTTGCTCTTCAGCAGCTTGACCGGAGCTTAGCATAGGGCTGCTGTTAGCTGGGGAGATGCCCCCCTCACCTACCCACCCACCCCGACTCATGGCAGCCCCAGGCACACTAGGACGGCACGTGCTGAATCCCGTGCCTTCCTCATGCAGTTGGCAGGGTCGGACTCTTGGCCCCCATCGGTTTGCCAGTCTGGGGAGGCCTTGCTACCTGGTCCATCTTGGGGCGGACCTTTCCTTGAAACCTCTCCGCATGATAACAACACACACCTCGCCACTGGCCGATGAGTGCTAGCTGTACTTGAAGGACCAGAGCTAAAATAAAAACCAGACTCGCTGCCATCGGGTCCATGTTGACTCACGGGAGGCCCTGTGGCTTTCTGAGCCTGTAACTGTTCACAGGAGTAGAAAGCCCAGTCTTTCTCCTGTGGGGCTGCCGGTGGTTTCGAACTGCTGACCATGAGGATTGGTCAACAAAACCACTACACCACCAGGGCTCTTATGCTTGAGTACATGGCCTGGGCATTGAACCCCGATAGCTGTCCAACACTGAAAGCGCACCACCCCCTCCCTATGCCCCATAGCTCATGAGAAAAATAATTGCCGAATGGGGATCTAGTTTCAGTGAACAATACTGTAGGCACAGTGCCCGGCCCTGGTTAGTGTCTCCACCACAGCCCAGGCATTTCGACAGTTACTGGAAACCATATCCTCAGCCATGCTTGACGCTCGGCCCACAGCCATGCGTTCGGATTAAAAGGATAGGTACATATTCCTTTTCTCGGGTGTGCCGCTCCTCTGCTTCCTTCATCATTTCCTGCGCCTGCTCAAGTTTGGCATCTACCAGCTTCTGCTGCAGTTCTCTGTGCTTAAATATTTTGTCCAGATGCTAAGGAAAAACAAAGCACATACACATAAAGTTTAGTTTGCCATTGTCTCTTT